ACGCTTGCTGTAACAAGCACTTATCTGCACATTAGCCGGAGTGAACACTCTGCTGATCAAGTTAAACAGATAAGATCCCCACCCTTGTAGAAACTACAACTTAATACACTCTAAGGCTTGACAAATGACTCGTATTTATTTTCCAACTGCTTTATCTCTGTAAAATGATGTGCTGAATTACTATAATTGGTGTAGAAAGAACTGTTCCCTTAACTTATGTAAACAGTCTGGTTTTGAAAACTTCACAGTTGTGGCTTAGCGAGTTCTCGACACACTCTGCCTTCCCTGAGACAGAGGAACCCCTGCTTGCCCTGTTCACCACTGTATATTCCGCTCTGGGCGCACTTTCTTTAACTCGTTTTTAAATTTTTTGTTGTTGTTTTGAAAAATTAATACATTTACACGGTAAGACATCCAAACGATACAAAAGAGTGAGTATACAATGGAAAGTAAGCTTCCTATCGGAGGTCAGCCTTCAGTTCCCCAGCCCGCCTCCAGAACTAATCACTGTTACCTAGATCCTGTGTACCCTTTCTGAGCAATTCTATGCATTTACCAGTTTATAAATATGTATATTTATATATCTATTTTTAATACAAATGGTAGCATTCTATGCAGTGTTCTGAAGCTTGCTTTTTTTTTTTTTTTTTTTTTTTTTTCCACTTCCGCAATGGAGATTGTTTCAAATTCATCCAGTGGGTCAGTCTAATTCTTTGAAAGCTCCTCACACGGTTCCTTGCAAACCGTAGCGGTCCCAAGAGTGTTCGAGTGAGTGAGTGAGTGAGTGCACGCACGTATGCACGTGGGAATGAAAGAGTCTGATTCAACTGGTCGCTACAGAGTTGTCTCAGGGTCTACTCTGAGCAAGACAGAATGTTCTAGATTCTAGGATGTGCCGTGTCATCACCCCTTCAATTACCCGCCCCCCTTCCCCGGCCGTGTTTTCCAAGGGATCCAGGCCATTCTTGACCTTTTCCATGAACAGATGCCACAGCAGCCTTAGGAACCAGGTGCTGGGAACCTTGGGCCCCTCTGGAGGAAGGAGCAAACCAGGAGCCAGGTCCCAAGAATAGGATTTTTTTTTTTTTTTGAGGTCCCTATTTAAAATGCTTTTATCTTTTCTTTATTTCTTTCTTTTTTTTAAATGCATTTTTCTTATTGGAAAATGACATCACATTGTTAGAGAAAATAAAAAACATGTGTATTTATAATCCCATCTTACTTTTGCATTTGTTTTTACTACTGCCTTATCAGTTTCCAGTTCTTTCCAACCGCTTTTCCAACGGACTCTTGTTCAGCTCATAGCTGAATATGATATGATTATGGTCACAACCGGAAATTGAAAATTTCCATATGACAGACGTTATTCTTCCATTCATTCTCTTATGTAGGCTCAAAACTCAAAACACTAGGATTCTTTGGAGGTTCAGAATGGTTGAGTAATTTCCCTAAGGCCACAGAGCTCGTTGCGGGCAATGCTGGGATTCACTCAGGTGCGAGGAGCACCACATTGCCTCTGATTCTGTACCCTACTTTTTTCTACCTAACATTGTATCTGGGCATTTTCCGTGTTTCTACATAGCCCTTAAATCCTCATTTTCAATCATTGTAATCATTTTCAAATCAACATAATTTACTTAACCCGTTTCCTGTTTAACATTTAATAAATCTCCCTCTTCGTCAGTGCAAGGAAGAGTCCCGGGCATACAGACTTTTGCTTCTGCAGAATTATTTCCTCAGGGGGTTACCCCTACTTCCTTGACTGAACCCCCTGGCAATGTGCTAGAATGAAGAAAGCCAGTGACTAGAAACCAGAAGCTCTATAACTAAGTTGTTTGATCTTTCTTGGCCTCAATACTCCCATCTGTCAAATGCCGGGGTCGGGGTGGGGGTGTGGTGGCTTAAATCTCTGAGGATCCTGAGCTGGGCTAGATTTTACATTCTTGTTCCTTATAGGTTTATATCAAAGAGAGGAGACCTCCCTAAAGGCAAGAACTCTTAACTGCATTTCTTCTC